GACTGTAAAGATTGCCCAGGCCTGCACAGTGAATTGTCGTCGATTCCAGCCTCAATATTAATTGCACTGAAATCCGATGCTACGAACAGGCTTTCGAGATTACTACATGCGAAAGTGGTGAAATTGAAGAAGCAAATTATACGTTCCTATTTACCTCATTTGAAACGCTTCAGTGGAGTCAGACGGAGGCACAGAGGAACTATGAGAGGTGTACCACGAGGATGCATTGATGGAAGACAGAGACGGATCGGAGTCCTTAAATTTGAGGCTGTTACTTTAGTTTGAGAGGTGCAAGACGTGATACCTGTGAGGAGGTGCAAGGGGCAATGTCAAGATCATCTAGTGCAGAAGAGTCGTTTGATACTTTCTGAAAACTTATTGATAATCAAACAAAAAAGAATTAGAGAATGGGATTTACAACCTCGACTAGCGAAAAAAAGAGAAAAATTGCCGTAGCTGCCTAAGGGACTTACACCCTGAAGCTAGAAAACAGAAGATCATGAAAAGAGTGTAGAGAAAATCTGTTAAAATTGTAAATGTAAGAAATTGGTCTTAAGGAGGACACATTTCGTGATTCAACATACTAGTAAGTACGAAAAGGACTATATATTACCAGGGAAAGGTTGTTATCAGCGTCTTCGATTCGACATTCGCTGTTTGAACTAGGACGGCTCAACAAGCTGCCTGAACACGTTTTATGCCCTACTTTGCTGAATCAAAAACTGCATAAGGAGCTTCACAAAATAACGTGCCTGAACTATGAGCCCAGGCCATGGTTTCGATGCGACGTTTATCAGTCAGTACGACAACCTTCTTTGGAAACCAAGGGCTGGCATTTGGTGAGTTTGAGCCGATCTTTCGTATTACGGACACATTCAGGCTCTTAATTGTGGAATAAGTACCTGGCAACAATGTTAGAATTAAAAAAACTAAACTTACCATTTTTGACGAAAGCAGACCACTTCTGTCGGATTCCTCATCGCCATCATTCGCAAATGAGTAATTCCTTGTAACAATTCCGAGCTCATGGGGTTTCTTGTCGCAGGTGTAGACGACCTCTTCCCCGGCCACTGCCTACACAAACATCTATGAAGTCAATAACTAATCATCCTACATATAATGTCATGTTAAGCCCAGGACAAACTTTCTTGAGCCTCACGGCATCACTTTTTGCGAACAACATTCATAAAGAGTTCTTCTCTTTGACTAAATTGTATTTAACCGCTCTTCGTGGAATGAAGCTAGTTCCTACCAATTTCTTTTGATTATGAAACATAATAAATGGTTATGATTAACAATGTAAACCAGTAAATTAGCGCGCATATTATGCAATTGCAGAGCACACCAGACTTATAAATAACTTTTCCGTCTTCTAAGCAGTTCAAGTAAACCAGACAGACTGATAAGTACAACGTGACCCATTTTGAAGACAAATAACTTGTATTGGCAGCAACCTTGGAACCTATCCGCAATCATGAGCACCACAGTAAAAGTCAGGCGCTATGTTACCAGATCTTCCTTCTTTTTATTCAAATAACTCTTTCTACAAAATTTGAAGACGAAAAAAAGTAGGCATAGACTATGAGACTACCTTTTTCTGCACGAAAGAGTTGATTTTGCAGAGCCCATGATACTGTTCATGCCAGTGTCTGAGTTTTTTATATAAGGAGGGAGCTATGGAGTCCTCAGCTGTTACAAATGACCGATCGCTGAGTCAAGAAAAAAAGCGCAAGCTTAGATGATTACAGGCTTGCCTTGCTACTGCACTAGTTTTTGAAATGATTTGATATGTTACATGTCATGAGGCGCATCGGAGTGGCGGAACCGTAACGGTTGACTTCGACGCTGTTTTATTTAAAAAAAAAAACAGACTATCGAAAGCGCCCTTTTAAGGTTGCGCGGTGTAATCCTGACCCAAACGATGTTCTAGCCATTTCTAAATAGTGAAAACGAGCGAAAATCCATTTTTTTTTCTCAGCGAATACATAAAGCACTCTCTTTTTGCAATAACCAATCATTATAACTTTTCAAAACT